TGTCATCTTCACAATTAGATGGATAAATGAGGGTCCAGATTAGTCATGGTCAATTAGGAGGCTATCATGCCACTTCTTGGAGCAGGATGATGAGTGTGGGTGTTTTGGCCAAGCTCCAGTTACACTCTCCCATACTCCGCGAGCACTTTCTAAGGATCCCAAACCATCCTGTGGCCTTGTTACTTGTTGCTGAACACCAGCAACGTTTTATACCAAAGTCCACCGCACATCAGCAATGGCTTCAGTGCTCTGCATGTATCAGTTATGCTTAAATGCACACAGAAATCCTGCATGCTGCAGAAATTATTGCCATTAGCCTGGCGCTGCAGTTCTCATCAGCTGTCTGTTGAGCACAGCCCCGGCCACACATCTCCTGCAGACATGCTGGAAGATTTCATTTTTTCCCTTCTGGACCACCAAGGTTTCCAGATGCAAATGCTGCGTGCTTACAGCATGTGGCCGCTGGGGAGCTTCACCTGGGAACTGCTGTCCGGACAAGCTGGGCTCTCGCCCCTTCCAGCACTCAAAGTCATCACAAACTTTGTGGTGAGGAAATGAAGCAGCTGGGGGAGGCTGCAGCTGGTGCCGTACGTTAGCGGCTGCCTGGTAGTTAAGGCACAGGAGTCACCATGCTTCACTGTTCAAGAACAAGGGCTTATTTAAAAAGAAGAGGAAAAAAAAAATCCACAAACCAACCCTGTTTTTGTTGTGCTGTTCAGTCCGAGCCTAAGTTTTATTAAAGATTTCCATTCGGCAGAACCATCTAATAAATCTTACTGGTTAACAGTCAGAGGAGGAGGAAGAAAATGCTTTCCTGGTACCTTTTGGGAATTGCTGGTACTAAATTAGCTGCTCTGGAATTATTGCTGGCACCATCACGCTGCTGCTGTACCCCGTGGAGGATCGCTGTAGCACACTTCTGTGTGCACACTGCCTGAATGCCAAGCGAGCAGGATATGGAATTTTTAATCATACGCAGAAACGCATTCTGTATTCTTTTTGCTGGTGGAAAAATAAACCCTTGAAGGGCATCGCAGGAAAGGAGAGCGCCAGCCCTGCAAAGAGAGGGCTGCCCAGCGCTGCTGCCAAGCGCAGGGCCTCCAAATCTCCAAATCCCCTGCGAGCTGCCAAACCGAGATGGGGCCCGTGGCACATGAGCGCCTGTTTGGCACCAGCCCTCAAAGGACAAGGTCTAGGCTGACACAAATTTCTTACTGACTTCCATCAGGCCAGGCTTAATCTGAAAATGGGTGCTCACGCTGCTCGTGTATTGAGTGCGAGCCGGAGAGCTGAGCCATTTATGGTTAGTTTTTCATTAAACGTAATTTAACTGGATATTAAAACAGTTCTGATGGACCTCTATGTTTCCACATGTGCTTGCAGGGAATATCAAGCGCTTTTCCCTTCCCTGTACTCTGAGCAACCTTACTTAACATGTGGAAGCAGTGCAGATAAAACCAGAAGGGATGCGGTCAAGAATTTCCCAGCAAATTTGGTATTGAATGATTCCTGTTGAGAGGAGATCGATAGCATGCAGTTAATTTTTAAGTTGTTTATGTTGCTGCTTTTAAATCATGTATTTTGTGATCCACGCTAATGAGTGGAAGGAGGAATTTGTAGCCTCACAGGCTAAGGTCAGAAGGGACCTCTGTGCGCTGTTAATCTGAGTTTGTGTACACGCAGGCCACAGACTTTTCCCCAGGCAGCATCTCTCTTGGAAACACATCTAATCTTCTCTTAAAAACACCGTGCTGGTGAGTTCATCTGTCCCTCGCTGGTTCGCTGTTTAATTATCCTTGCTGTCAGGGAAGTGCCTCACTTCAAGGCTGAGATGCCCAACTTGACTTTCCAGCCCTTGCACCCTGCTGCACCTTGGTCTGCAGGACCAAAAGCTCATCCATTTGCTCCCAGTGACCAAGTCACCTCTCAACCTTTCTTTGATAAACTCCATAAAATTCATGTCAAAGATTATTTTTTTTTCAACGCAGGGTCACTTTTGCAGCTTTCCCATGAACTTTGCTGATATTTCCACACGTTGCTGAGTCCTCCCCTCCTGGTGCCAACGCTGTGTGCAGCTGTGCCCTCTCCTCCCCATGTGTTTTCATTTCCCTGTTATGGCTCATAAGCTATAGCCAATATTGTTTGTAGCTCTGAGTGGCCTCCTTTATGTACTCCTCCGAGGGCCTGGCTTTCTGAAGGGAGCATGGGCAGGTGCAGCTGCAGTTGTGCTTCCTAAAGATACCGCTTAGCATTTACAACACCTCTGCTGGCTTGAGACCGCCCAACGGGGACAGGCAGATACCCGCCTATATTGCTCGCTCTGTAATACTTTTAACCCCACCAAGCTTTACGCCACCTGCAACCTTTACCAGGGGAGATTTTCTGTTACCTGCATCGTCGGTGGAAATATTAAATAGCACTGAAGAAGAATCAATGCTCGCTAGCGATGGCCTTGCTCAATGATACCTTCTCATTAACAGCTACATTTTGAGATCTGTCAGCGAAGCAGATTTAATCTCTCTAATGTGTGCCTTGTTAATTCCATATAATACCAGCCAAATACCTGGGAGAGATCGCGCTATAGTATACCATCACAGTTGTCTTTAGCAGCCAGGCGTGTTTTATTAAAAAACAAAACAACCCAACTCCTACCGCCGAAGCAAATGCAGGTTTGTTTGACAAAGACCCATTTTCCAGGAAAATGCATCGATGGCTGTTCATTGCATTATTAGTATCCAGTTATTTGTTGAAGAAATCCCAAATTAACCGCTCTGTTATTTTGCAAAGGACCACCACCAGGCTAAATGAGACTACTTAGCCTGATGATGATACTTTGCAGAATTAATTGCTGCACTAAGATTCTGCCTTTCACCTTTTCAAAATACGGGAAACACTTTGGCAGTGCCCTCATCCATCTGGAAGCCCCCGAACTGTAAGAGTTATTAAAAATCAACATTAGCGGTTCCAACAGCTTCTCAGCCAAGTCCCAAAGATGCCTGTGAGTAGGATGGCCAGTTTACCTGATTTGAGAACGTCATTTCTGGCCTTTTTCACATCTCTCCTTGCTGCAAGCCATACCTGCTGTTGGTCCACTCACAGTATAAGATGGAACCAAACAGTTCTTGCTTCTTTCCAAATGCAGATGAGAAATACCCATCAGAGCACATCTGTTACACTTCAGTACTCCATCAGCCACATCTAGCGATGATTTTATAATGGATTAAAATTATAGATTTGATCCTAACAGGTTAAAAGTGCTTTTCTTTTTGCTCCTACTGGCCATCAGTACCTCAATGGTTCCCTCATTTGCTTTTAGCAGCAGCCAATTTTTAACCTATACCTGGTATTTGTTTCTGTTGAGCTTCCATTTTTTCCTATTTCCATGCCTATTGCTTTATTTAGTCTCTGTCGTGGCTTTCACATCTCTTTTTGGCCAAAATATTTTTCCTTGAACATGTCCCAGCACATTTAGAAATTTTTGAAATAGTGCCTTTATTTTTGGCATCAAATAGGATGTATTTTGCTATTCCTATTTCTGGTGACTATCCCGCTGTAACTGTAGGATTCCAGCCCCCTGTGCTGACGATTACTTTAGGCTTTGGCAAAAAAAAATCATTTAAAAGTTTGAAGTTACTTTTTATTGACGGGTGTCATATTCTGCTTAAGCCAAGCCAATTATTGGAATCACCATCACGGTGCTGAAGCAACAGCTAGGAAGTAGGACACTGCCTTTTTTTAACCTTCCTTCATCAACCAGAAGGTTTGCTGTTTGTGGGGTGCAGAACAAAGCATCCCTTAGTGTCAGACACCTTGGGAAGTGGTTGTGTGTGATGCTCTGCTAACGTCCCCTGTTTGAAACAACAAGAATTGGCTTCAGCAGCCAAGAGAGGGCGCTCCTTAAATTAATAAAAGGAAGCAAAAAAGGGAGAAAACAAGAAAAACGAAGAGCAAAAAGAGAGAAATGGAATGTGCTTTCTTGAAAATATATTTTTTTTTCCTCCACCAAAGCAAAAATTAACCACAAGCTGAAACACGGAGGCACTTTTCTGCTGTAGGACAGGTGTGAGAGGTGTCCCTTGTCTAAGGAGCGGGCCAACAGGGACTGGAGACATGGGGCTATTGGCGGCCCTGCGGCCACCCCACTTCTCTATCCCTGCCCACAAGGCACAACCCCTCCAGCCCTGGCTTTGCTCAGAGCCTCGAGACACTGCTGCTGTGGAAATAAACACCAAGCCTTCGCCAAGCCCAGCTTCGAAGGGGAGATGGGTCTTCTTGTCCCTATGCAGGGCCCCCAGCCAGCGATGGCTTTTTGGCACAGCACAGGTAGCTCAGCCAGCCCCAAACACGGGTAGGTGCTCCGCAAAGGGCTGGCGCTAGGTGATGCCTGAAGCCAGCCAGCCTTTCTGCTCTCCGTACCAGTAATGCAATACTTTTTAGAAGGCCTTTAAGTCCTGCCAGTACCTGTGAGGGCTGCCAAGTTTTATTTTTGTCTGCCAGTTTGGGAAGTTTGTTAAACCTGTGACTGGGATCAGGGAAGCGAGCCCAAAAAGCAATCGAAGACACGCAATAAATAATAATTAATATCAGTGTGTGGTGCTATTTTTTTTTTTCCCTTTCAAGGCTCTTTTAGCTAGATAACAAAATCCAGTCCCACATGATGGCAGTCTCTCTTACAGCCTTTACTTCTCATCCTCTGGTTACACGGGGCAAAGTGAGGAAAACAGGGTGACTGTGCTCAGCTGGAGGAGCCCTGTGCATGGCCCTGCCCTCAACACACAGTGCTTGAATATCAGGAGACGCATGAACCACAGCAAGGTGCTAGAAGTACACTTTGGAAAATGTTGCGTCCCTAAACACGTAGTTTAAAGGACTTTAAACACGTACTTTAAAACCCCAGACAGTACACACCTCCCTTCCCCTGCCCCTTCACTATTAGGCAGCATTAGTTTATTTATTAGCAGAAAATGTTAAGGTAATTCAATTGGAATGTTTTTTCTCACCTGCAGAACTGCCTGGAGTGGTTCATGTTGGGACCTGCTTTAATATTGCCTTTCTCTGGGTCATAGATGGTGGTTGCCCGTGCATAAGCTCCTCCAAGAATAAAGATGAACCCATTGAGAGTGACTGCAGGAGCATATTTGTTATCTGTCAATGGAAAGCAACACTGAGATCAGTTTTAGGCTCAGGTTTGGAGACTGTTTTTTATTTATACATTCCCCTTATTTATAGATAAGTCACGTTTCTTCATACCTCCAAGGCTAGGGAAAGAAAAATGAGGAAATCTTTCCTGGTTTTGTTCTTCTCTCTTACGGTTCTCAAAGGCACTTTTAAAGTTCATCAGTCCTTCATCCCCCAGTACACACCTCCCTCTAAACTGGTAAAGTACAATTATCCTCTTGCAGAGCCTAATGGAGTCACCGTGAAAGCACCACTCTTACATATGAAATTAAGATGTCAAGTTGTTTCAGACTTTTGAATTGCTGCAAATTTTAACTCAGATGCTTCCCAACTCTGCGCAGCGGCTAAGTACAGAAGAAACCCACAGTGCAGAGTCCCACTTAATAATATTCAATAGTTGATTCTCTTTTGTATTCTACTTTTGCTTGTGGGAAGGTCACCCACACAATCCAGAAGATTTTCTGAGACCTGACTTTTTTTTTTTCTCCTTCATCTGTCTCGCACATTCACCTGTATTTTTATTTTCAGATGTGTGAAGTACCTCCGAGCAGTCCTGTGTATTGCAATGAACCGTGTGACACCGGGGTTTGAAATTAAGCTGAGTGCCTTCGCCTAAGTCACGTTCAATCAAAGTTTCCAAGGATGCTTTAAAACTTCTCAGTTAGCTGCAACGTTATTAGAAATACTAACCATAATTTATTGAATAAAGTAATTCTGATTTAATTAGTTGACTTGTCCCGTATGCCGCTATCACGCCATATGCACATTATTAAATATGAGCCAGTTGGGCTGAAATTTCTCACGATGGTGTCTGTCTTAATGCGAAACAGTTTTTTTAATCAACATTTCAGCGAAACCAATCAGTAGTGTCTGGGAACAAAAGACGGGAAAATACATTGCTTGAGTTAAAATATGCCTCACAATTAGTTCTCTAAGAAATAAGTGCCATTTCCTGGGTGGCTATCCTGGTGTTAGTGGACACATTTTGCACTTCCTATAAAAATTCTCTGTGAGTAGCTGTATGTTAAAGCTTCTCCCAAGTCTGTATTTATGTAGCTCAGGAAAGGGTGATCCTCTTGCATCTCCAGAGGAAAATTAGTCCTGGACAACGTGCTGCTGGCCATGTGTGAAGTATCCAGTGCAGCACGCTGGAGAGGAAAGCCACCACCTTTTGTGTTGCCCATAATGGCCTCCATACAGAGTCCAAGGGCTCTATAGGTTCCTCCCATATCTGTGACTCTACAACCACATCCTTTTACAAAAAAAAAGAAAGAGATGAGCTTAAACCAACCCCAGTGACTTTACTTTTGGCACTCTCTTACCTCTTGCCTGGCTGGCACTGTAACCCTGAGGTTCTTTTAATACCATCTTACTCCATTAAAAAATGTAATGAGAGATTTAATTTGACAGGAGTTAAGCAAAAGTTGCTGAACGTGTCCAGAAGAGTGGTAATTTCCTTAACTGGGGTTTGAAGTTGTTAAACTAAAAGGGAAATAATGGTTTTGTGGTGTCTGCCTCTGTTCCAGCGTGGCTGTGGTGTGGTCTGCTGCAGTTTGGGGGAAATATGGGGCTGCAGCACCCGACGTGAACACAGACAAAACATGTTACGGGTTTAACGTGGACTCCTATTACTCTCAGCATCTACCGGCATATGTCAAAAAACACAGATGTATTAGGAAAATGTCACTGATCCTTGGGAACAGATGGGAAGAAACTAATTCATCCAGAAAATAGAACAAGGAGTATTCAGTTTCTTCTCGGTGCCACTAAGCCACTATAATTCATCAGAAAGACTTATCTGTCCTAACAACTCGTCTCACATCCCTTTCCAAATCAGGCTTGCATATGTGACATTTTTTCCAGTTAAGACACTCATCAGAATTTTTCCATATTTAATTATCACATTTTCCTGTATTTTTTTTTTCCCTTCAACTAGCACTACTTTGCAGAAGAATAAAACTCATACATTAAAAAAAAAAAAAAAAAAAAAAAAAAAAGAGCTCAGCAATCAACTCCCAAATCTCACAGGGAGATTATCTGGGGCTCCCTCAAGGCAGAAAGAGCGGCTTCTCAGGAGACTGAATCACTGACTTCACATTCCTTTTGGTCAAAGGAAAAGAGGGAACCCCCTTGGTTATTTTTATAGTGACTTTTTTTTTCTTTTAAATAAGCCACGAACACTGTGATATTCCTTCTTCTTTCTTTTTTCTTTTCTTATTTCTTCTTTCTTTCTTTCTTTCATTTCTTTTAGTTTTTCTTTGTATTTTATCTTCTTTATGTATTTCTTTCATTCTCATTATTCTGCCTTTCATGCTTCCTGATGTAATTCTTTCTTTACTTCCTTACTTCTATTCTTCTTTGATTCGTTCTTTCTTTTATTATTTGATGTCTTTTTCTTTTTTCTTTCTTTATTTCTTTCTTCTTTCTTTTTATTTATGTCTTTTCTTTCTTCTTCTTTCTTCTTCTTTATTCTCCTTTCTTGTCTTTCCTTCTTCATTCTGTCCTTCTTTTGACTTATTTCTTCTTATTTCTCGTTCGTTATTTCTTGCGTTCTTCTTTGCTTTCTTCTTTCTTTCTTTCCTTTCTTTTCTTTTTTCTTTCTTTCTAGGCAATCATGCTCGATTCTCATCAATTTTGCAATACATCACCTATCTGCTGTCTTTTTAGTGCTTTTGACTTTAGCTACAAATTCATAAATTGGCATAAAGTAAGCCTGAGACTGAGAAACAAGGAAATCTCTGCTGCTTCTTTCAGGAAGGGAGAATTTCACAGCAAATAGTCCTGTAAAAAAAAGTCAAGTCACCAGGGTTGGTTTAAGCCTTTCTCTTTTTTTCATTGTAAAAGGACACAGTCATAGAGCCACAGATACGGGAGGAACAGATCCTGATGAAGATATGGCAGAAGGACACGAGGGACACCCCTCCAGATTCCGGCAGAGAGAAGGCCGTGCATTTTACTTCTTGTTTTGTTACCATGGAGGCAGAAATTTTTCACAGACACAAGGAGCTTGGAAAACTCAAGCTGGCATCTAAGTGTGGATGACCTCCTTCAATCTGCAACCTTGCTTCATCCCAGGTGCTACCTGTGTCCTTCCTTTACCCTTTCCAGGACTTGGTAACCTCATGCAAACACCCAGGAGCCCACAAAGTTGGTCACTGCTGGTCCGTAACATGATGATAGTGCAAGGTGGTGGGGGACCCTGATTTTGCAAAAGCATGTGCTGGTTGGGCTTTTTGGTCAACGCTCCTGTGTGTGAGCAGAAGCTCCTTTTGGTAAGAGGGTTATCACGGGACACAGCCAGAATTCTGGTTATTTCAAACACCTGCCTGAGGAAAGGAAGAAAGGGGAGAGGGAACATGGAAACTGAGGCTATGGAGTAGCAGCCTCCTTTCCTCTCCAACATTCAGATGTTGGGGCTGTTGGACATGGCAATATATTTCAGGCTGGAAAGTCTTAAATGATATTTGTACACGACAGCAAGTTCACTTGAGATTAAAAGGCAGAGTAAATGTAAAGGAAATAATAGACAAGGGGTATCTCTACACATGTCTAACATCATAGCATTGCTCTCCTTTGCTATTGCAGTAGGAAAACATACAAATATTTCTATTCTAATAGCGATGAGTTGCTGCAGGAAGGGGTATGCACTCAAACACAATCCTTGAGCCAGAGCCGTACTTCACATGGGGTTGATAATTTAACCTACTGATATGCTCCTCTCTTTTTAACAACAACATGCTGTCTGTGATGTGTTTTATGGCTCTCATATCTCCTGGTACATTACATGGTCAAGTATCATAGATCTGCTTTCCATTCCATGATTACTTACAGACCTTATGCTGCCTTCCAGTGAAGCACTCAGTCAGAGCCTGAAGTGGCACGAAAATGAATGGCAGCAGCACTCCATATGGAAACAGGTTATTAAAACCAAACCCAACACTTTTGTCAGGAGGAAGAAATGCTAGCAAGCCACCAGACCTAACACAGCCCCTACCAAAGGATCTCCCTGCAGGCATGGGCGGCTGGGGTGTGGAGAATGATGAGAATGAGGCACATGATGAAGCATATTCGAGAAAGAAGATGAGTTAATAGGATCCAAATCTGTTTTTAATAGCAAGCATCTCTTCCCCTCCCTGAATACTATGTAGACAAGCTCAGGAATGGCATAGTAATGGATGAGATAGCATCCCGCAGCAGTCGGGAGGCTGCAGTCTGCTCCGTAACAGAGCTCGGGAGGCTGAAGTGCAGATATTGCAATTAGCGGCGAGGTCTCGGATGTCAGCCCTTCTGCCACGGTGCTGTCACTGTGAGGGGAAACCAGTGCTCCCCAGGGAATGCGGAGACAGAAGAAGGAGACAGCGGGATAAGGAATGATGATGGCCAGGTGTGCTCCAGGAACAGGGCCTGATGGGTGGGGAACATGCAGCAGATGAGAAGAGGAAGCCAAGCTACATCACCCCACATGAAGACAGAGATGCTAGCTGATTTCTCAGTAACTACACGAGACTCATTGCTTTGAGACTTCTAGGTGAGAGCCAGCCCAATCCACAGCACAAATACCTGAACTTTAGACCTTGGGAAGAGGGACAGGACAAAGACACATCTGATTTGTCCTGTGACGCCCAAATTCATGGGACTGGTTGTGCATTTTAACCAAACTAAGACAGAGGATGGTGAAGTAGAAATGCCCAGATGCTGCTAACACCATTTTCCAGGTATTTCTTGCATTCTTAAGTCTATGTCCCACTTCAGTCTGACATATTACTCCAGTAGTAAATGGTATGGGGAGGAACCTGGATTAGAAACCACTACTTGGATTAGAAACCAGAAATGCTCGTAGATCTTTGACCTCTGTGTTCCAATAATTCTCAGTAGATTTTAAAAGTTAGTAGCGGTGAAGAATAAACACTTACAAGTCCTGAAACACCAATCAAAACTTGTAATTCCATCAGTAGAGATGCTGACTGTTAAGCGTATCAAAAAAGGTGTATTTTAGTGCCCTGACATGAAGGCACAACGTGAACTAAAATGCAGTGACAAGATAATTAGGCTTACTTACAATCACTGACTTCAGCACGTCTGTGGCCAACTTGTTAAATAGGACAAAACTTAGGAAGCTGGGCATGAAATGTATTTTTAGCAGAGCTATATAGGATGACCTGCTAAGAAATGGAAGGACAAGCACTACAAGGATGTAGCCTGGGCACATTTACTTTGTAGGACTTTGGCCCAACACCAGTAAACTTCTTAAAGCTCCAAGCACAAGAGGACGTGCAAGGTGGCTTACCAAAAACATGCAGTGCAAAAGCCCTGGGAGGCTCCGCTATCCAAGTAATATCAAGCTGTGCTGCTGCAGGAACATCTGCTGGCTCCACAGATGGGAAGGACAGAAGCAGGGCGAAGGATGGGGAACTGAGGAAGAGTATCCTCTCCAAATAGAGAGGTGTGTAATCAAACTCTTTTTCTACCCCCAGGCTACCACAGCACTTGTGCAACGTGTCGGTGAGCCTAGTTTTACATGTATACCTACTGTCCACAGGTGTCCCAGCACCTCATGCCAAGTGAAGTCTAAGGAATAAATGAAAACTGGGGGTGAACTCGCTGTTAGTTGGAGGCGAAAGGCAGGCAGAAGAGAGCAGGGGCTGATCTATGTGGATATGCTATCAGTCCCCACTTCATACCTCCTCTACACAGACAAGAATATCCAGCCTCCTTCACCTCCATTAAGATTATCCTAAAAGTGCCCCTTTCCCTCTCCATGGTTGACACCAGTGCTGCTGTGAGTTAGGCTTGCACACGATGCTTTGGAAGAGCTGGATGTGTCGGGTTCAAACGTGTGCCATGCTGCATTCAGCTCGCTGATGGCTGTAAAATACCAGTGACTTGAAACAGGTACCACTGGTCTAAAGATCTCCAGAGACTTCTTTTGATACTGGCATCTACTGTTGCATATTTGAACATACTTGAGGTGTTTTTAAATAATCTGTTATTCCATTTGAAGTTGAACAGGCTTCACTGATCTCTGGAGTCATCTTGAACAACACAACTCACTGTCAGATGTCTCAGGTTACTTACTCTCGAGAGACACCTCAAGAATCCACAAATATACACAAAAAGGCTTTGAGGCTGTCAAAGTTACCCCAGAAACGATCGTATTAGAGTTCAACTCATTTCATCTCATCTGCATTTAGTAAAAAGTAGTCCAAGACTCCTACCCCCTCTTTGTTTCAAGTAAAGGTTGACTGCACTGCACATGGAGTATCACTCAGCTCTTTAGGGAGACTGTTTGGGGATACAAGTACAGGTGATACTACGGTTCTTGTAGAGCTGGAGAAATAAAAATATATTTCCAATATTCCTACAGCCTTTTTAGAGAAGACCAAGCATCACATCAGTTCTTTTTCCCAGACATTCTCCACTGGGGTGCAATTTTTCAGACTTTGTGTTCTTTTACTTCATTTGCAAATAAATTGGCATTATATATTTCTGAACAAAGGCACACAGCAACTCTGCATTTCATCATATATTTTATGCCTTCAACTTAACTAATTAACTTTGTTTACACCAAGAAAACATAAACACTGTCTTTTAACTTCATTGGTGTCTTTTGTGTGTTTTTGTTAGGAAATGGTAGTACACAGGCATTAGAACAATGGGTGACAAACCCACCTCTGGATGGTTTGGATGATTTTTCCAAAGCACGCATAGTGTTGACGCCTGCTAGACAGTCTAATGAGCCCAGGGAATGATTTCTTAGCTCCTGTGGCACTTGTGCTATTCTGGTAAGGAAAAGGAGTACCTTTTTGCATAATGCATTCATTTTTGCAATACACCCTGAGTGTAGGAAAACCTCGCACCGTCAGTCAGTGGATTAAATGAACAGTGGCAGCTGCAGCCATGTGATGGAAAAATGCAGGAAATAGGTTTGTTTGCACTGCTGTATTACATAAACATGACTTTTGCTGGTTAACGCCCTCCCGCTGGGCACTTCATGCTGCATCATATGCATGTCATGTTAAGTTAGGCTGGACACAAACAGCAGCAAGAGAGTTGGAAAGCAGCAGTGCTGTCTTCACGGCCATGGCTGGACCATTTTCTTGTGATCTGTTTTACTAGGGAACTCCAAGAAGATAGTCATAATAATTGTAAAGAGCTACCATAAAAAAAAGAGCAGCTTACTCTAGCTTCCTGAATGTGCCTAGGCCACATCTGGATACCTTATAACCATATTTGTGTAATTTATTGCTTGCTGTTCATACTTCATCTACCAGGCTGAACACTGAGATCATGATTTTTACTCAAAGCATCTCATGCCACAGTTTCAACACAACAAAGAGGTTTAGGACACAAAAGCAAGGCATCCTAAAACAGCTTCTCTGTGATGACTGCACGAGAGCTGTTTCTTTGGACACGTGGTCCGGGTCAGCTGTCACCTGCATGAACATCCTTGTGTGGCTGAATGCTAAATTGCATTTCCAGAAGCAGCCTCGAAATTCAGGGTTCAAGTTGGTACAGAAAGCAAATCAACTGCAATCGTCTGAGCACTACCATAACTTTGGAAATCTGTACTTCTGAAGTTCTCTTCTACCCTGGGAAATCTGGACTCTCTTGCTCTTTTTCTATAAAATTGAGTTTCTTGCTCTATCTTGTAAAAAGTTCAGAGAGCTCAAGGGCATCATATACTAATAAACACAGTTTTAATAATTTACATGTCTTGGACATCTCAGAATCTGAAGCATGTATGCCTTTCAACACCACTGATAAATCCCTGTTAAGAATGGCCACCTCTTCCTACCAGAGAGGAGCCATTTTAACAGAAACACGAGTAATAATCCATTGAGTGAGCAGTGCTGTTTTAAGCATGGAGCAACACATGATATTAGAATGAAGTTTCACTGCACTTCACGATTTTCTGGATCTAAAATTGCTAGTTGTCCATACCTAATAACTGCCTTCCTTTCTCCTCTACTTTGAACTCATCACTTCTAGCTGATAACTAGTTGTATTAATGAGTGACAATTGCCTTCAGTAAAGAACCAGATAATTGCCTCTCTGGTATAAAATACATGCATTCCTGCCAATCTGCTATAAACATATCTCCCCCCCCAAAAAAAAGAAAACTAATTTGCTTTGCACAAAGACATTAAAATACCTTCAGCACAGAGATTTCTGTCATAATATGAGTTTGCTCTGACAACACGAACCCCTTACCGATCATTGGAGACTCTATAAAACTCCACGAATTAGTCTGGGGGATGTAGGACTGCAAGACCCCGGCAGCTCGTCCGGCTTCAGTTCACCCCACCGAAGACGTAGATCTTCCCACCACAAACAGTAGCAGCGGCCGAATGCACGGCCTTGGGCAGAGGAGCGATGGTCTCCCACTGGTTGGTGATTGTATCGTACCTGTGATGAGAGCAATTGGAGTGAGCTGAGATGATGCAATGCCAGTTGAAGAGGATAGACAGGCAGAGAAAGCAGGCTGGGATATAAGAGAAAGGCAGCTTGACAAGCTGAAGAAAAGCAGAGGTGGAAATGTATTTTCTAACATCATACAAATTCAACCACTTGGTAAATAGTGTAATTAACGCCTTTTCTGAGCTTTTAAAACATTGATAAAAGCCCAGAGAAAGCTAGTCCCATTTTCTGTATATGCCTCTCAAATCTGATTATAGTCCAAGCTAAAGAAACTCAGGACATCTTTGTTGAGATGTCTTCCACTAATTAATTTCTATTAACGACTATACAATGAGATTATTCTTGCAAATCAGTGCAGTGATATCCAATAGCAACCGCAGGCAGGCAGCTGTTAATATACTTCAGTTGTTCAGCTTGTGGAACACATCTCACCTGCACTATAATGCAACACGATAGCTCTTTTTACTCTAGTTAACTGACCAGTGATGCACATTTTGTGCCAGAGAGAGTTGCTTCCATTTATTTTCTATTGTGCAAACCATGTGCTTCATTGCAGGATGCTGCAAATGTTAATGCCAGAATAAGATTTCACTATTGCATCCATATTTGACAAGAACCAAACAGAAAAGAGTATGCATGAAAGTGCTAAATTAGTTTTAAGGTCATCAGTATCCGATTTAATTAAGCCATTGACCATAAGGGATGTGCAGTTAATAATCCATGGATGAAGATTCATTTTAGACAATGTCACAAGTACAGACGTCAATTTTTTTAAAGATAATGTGGCAGGGATCCAAATAGCTGCTCTAAAATGAGTCTTGGAGACAGCGGAAAATAATGTGATTTTTAGGCTTCAATATTTCCATGTAATGGCACATTCAGTCAACGAGGACTTTCCTGTGAAGCAATTACTCAGAACTGTGTACTGCAGGAACAGAAGTCCTCTTCACCCATTCGGGGCTTTTGTTCTTAATATTAGTAATATGCAATATGCAAACATTAAATGAATCCACGGCCACAAATCCATCTGTAGAAAATGATTTAGCGACAGGGGAATTCTCCCTTTGTAACATGTCCCTCATATACTCACTGCCTAAACTTGGGGAAAATATAAGGGACAAAAGAAACAAATGGTGGAAATAGCACAAACTAATGTGCTTAATGAAAGTGCATTAATGAGTTTCCAAGTAATATAACCAGAAGTAATTAACACACTCATAAATGAGGAAAAGGAGGCAAACTTCAACTGAAAAATAAGAAGTGAGTAAAGTCCCTTCTAATGAGCATGGAGAACTGCATTTTACAATGCTCGAAATTAGTAACTGGGAAATTAAATTCATCTACAACAAAGTGATCAAAGGGGAGAAATGTAATGAGATTAAACAGCATGGTGCTGGGAACATTCAGGACGACACACCTATATTGTGCTGATTCTTAAAGTCTGCTACCAAACCCACCAAAACCGAGACTGGAGATGCATGTTTGGCTACACAAACCTCTTCCAGGTAAGGCACCACATGCTGCATCTCCTGCGTTTGCCCACAGCCCTCGAGGCAGCACTCACTGGCATCCTAGCAGATAGGCAAACCTGCTGCTTTGCTGCTTTTGGGTTACACGTTGCTAACTTGCTTACTGCAGTAGTTTTGGGTTTGGTAATTCAATTTTTGATGTGTATAATAAAAATGGTTAATGAATTGCTTAACTGGTAAGAAATTGAGGAAAAAAAAACAGCTGAAAAGAACTGATTTTCTTTCTAGCTCCCTAGCTCCTGGGATATAAGTTGTAACTGTCACCCAATACTTAGCACCACTGTCAGTCCAAACTTCAGAAATGTTTGTGGACAGTCTGCAGGGCAGGGTCTGAGAGGGGAAGGTGGTGGGCAGCCACGCTGCCTTCCCTGGCTCTGGCAGAAATACCTGGAAGACTGCTGCTTCCAAGACAGACACATTACTGCTAATGACTTTCTGATCCTCCTAATACGTTTTCAAAGGAGGGGTTATATCCTTCAAATTTGCTGGGAGTTGGGGGCGGTTGAGGATCACGTTTATAGGAATACTGGTGAAAGATTCAAATTGCAGAAACAAAAGTTCTTTTTCTGAATGAATTTCACTGGGACCCTAGAGACCTCCCCACTACTCTCCATTTATACTTTACAATGACAAGAACTGATCTTTTTGTCTTCTGCTCTCCTTCATCTGCAACCAGAGAACCAAAAATGACCAGTTTCACTTCATCTGCTGAAAGCCAAAGGATGCAAATCTACAGGACACAGGTGCAAGTGGGATAGCTTAAAAATGCTCATCTTGAGTGTCCTTCGGTTTCAAAAGCCAGCGAACCATAAAGCAGGTGGCAGCCAGTCCTTGTCCACCCAACACCACTACCCAACTAGGTTTTATACAGGCTGCCTCTTTCACTTACTTAAGAGGATTGCTTACTCCTGTGGTTGAAAAAGAGAAGGAGATGCCTTCAAGTTCCTCCATCCACAGGGAATTTATTCCTCTGGTTCATTACCTCCTTGCGAAATGGTAGGCCTGATTTCTAGTCTCTGTTTTGCTTCAGCTCCCACCCATCTGACAGTAAGTCTTTTTTTTCTGTTAGATTATAAAAATGTCTACTGTCAAAACTCTCTCTTTCACATATGGACTTGCAGAAAATAATAAAGTCACCTCCTCACCTTCTATAGGATAAACTAAGTAGTCTAAGCTCCTTAAGTTTCCCCTACAAAGCAGGTTTCCATCATTCTGGTCTAGCTCAAGTCAGCTCTTAATGTGTTCACAGACGGATTTGCACCAGATTAACTAAATTGGTTTAAAAATTAATAAAGTTGAATCTTTGTAACCTTTTTAAAGAATAGGAAATAACAACACCTGCTTTACCTCTCTGCCCTCTGGCCTCTCCTTTTGCCACATCATCTCCAGTGATGCCAGCTCTCCATCACCTCTGGTGCTAGTGAGGCTTTTCAGCTGCCTTTAACACCATCTCTACTCAGGGGCCAGCAGGGAGGGAACTGATTTAAAAAATAATCACTTTGATCGCTTTCTATTAGTCAAGTTTTGCATTTGATTCCCCTGCTTGAAGCCATAGATGGAGACTTAATGGGAGCTGGCTTTGAGCCATGCAAAGGTTTTTCTTCCTTCCTCCACTGCTCCCTCCAGCCCCAGCGTGCCCATGCCTCTCCTTGGCTGTAGGCCTAGTTAGGCCCATCCAGTATGCAGAATGTGAAACTTCAAGGACATCTCCTTTCACGTGACAGACTCCTGGTTTGGCAGTCCACTTGGTGTTACACAGATGCCCTTGCATGCCTTCCTCTGCCCCAGTGTGCAGCCCAGCATCCTGCAGTCCATGGCCCTGCCATGCTCTGGACACCAGGCTTTCGACACGCGCAGGACGTGTGTGTCCCTGCCTGTCACATCTCCTTCACCGAGCTGTGTTGTCTCACCTGACCCTTGTGCAGGCACTATGCTCTGGTTTATGTTTTATTTATACACCCCTGATATGGCAAATGATCTGAACCCAGCAGAAAATACAGCCCAGGCGTGAAGAAAACACTCTCAGAAATAACCTTGCTACTTTTCAGAACTCTCCTCTGACAGGATTTCAGCTCTGGGCCTGATCCTCCTTGTGCTTCACTTGTTTAGTTTAGCACCTCCTTTCTTGCTTTTCCCCTACAACCCTGATATTAACAGCAGAAAACCCCGTCACTTCAAGTTGTGCCATTTGCTTCTCTGCCTTGCTGACTTTTGATCCCTCCAGTACCTGAAAATAGCTCCCCCACCCCACCCCTTCATTTCTCTCCTTCTAGATTGAACAGCCATATAAATATGGCATATTTATTCACATTATAAAATCCTTGCAACACGGTCAGTAGCTTACAGACATGCACTCTCCGGTTTCTTATACATTATTTAATTCTGTTTGTAGGAAAGCTGCTATTTAAAATAAAGCTGTACAGTGTCATATTGATCTGCTCCTCAGATGATTCACATGTTGTTTAAAATCATATTAATGGATTACTATTTTTTGCCTTTTTTATTTTCTTCTGACTGTTCTGAGGAGCTTAAGAAACTATTCTTGGACAAGGCTATATATTTAATTTTCTTAACACATCAATAAAACAGTAGGTTCTGAAGCAGTTTATAAAGCTTCTAAGGCTTATTTTTACATTGAATTTTTTAGACTCTCTTCCAAGTACACACTGCCAGCTGAAGTAATCTCCCAGTTTTAGACAACCCTATTGTAAAAGTGCTGTCAGGTCAAGGGGATTCATCTTCTTCTGTCCTTCAAACAGATAATAACCACAAAGCACCCACATTTCCACACTTTTAGTCACATATATTGTCTTGTCAGCATATGCAGTCTTCTCGGCTCTCAAATTGCATATATTACAAGGCCCATCCATTATCTAAAAACCTAGTTCGTGGATCCACTTCATTTCTCCGCCTCCCAACTCAACTCATATCTCAGAAGAAGACAGAAAGTGTAATACTCTCTCGCCTAATACCTAATGACTCGCTCCCTGTCACACAGAAACTTGCCAGAGGGGCTTGATTGAGAACTGCAGTCATGCTGTTATTTTCCTAAACAGCCATTCCAAAAACATAACTCTCCCTAAATGTATACCCATGTATATTCACAAGAACAGACTTATAACTCAGCCAGTCTGGCACATGCATATTGTTTTAAGATGAGTAATAAATGACTCCCACCTGTCTGTTTGTGGTAGTCCTGTAATATTATCCGTCAAAATAGAACTTTACTGTCTCTTTGCAGACAAATGGCAGATAAAGGGTAAAAAAATCTCAGCCCTATTGAAGTTGATGGGAAAACACCCACTGATTTAAGTGGCACCAGAATTTCTTGTTGAGGCTGCACCCTTCAGCATCAGTGACACAACTGAAAGCACAGACAGAAGCGCTCAAGAGCAGATGCCATAAATCATTAGGAGTCTGATGGTCCCTACTTGCTTTAATGTTTTCTAATGGTGCAGTAGATATATTAGGTGCAACCAGGTAATAGCATGTATAGCTAATATGGTCTGACAACTGTTTTAAAAAAATAAAACAAAAACATCTTTGTAAAACTTTAACCATTTAGGATGAAATGTTTCAAAAATGCCCAGGAAAAACACAGGTGGAGAACAAGAAGAAAACTGGTGGAAAATATTATCTTTGCCATTTCTGGAGACCAGCTGTGGCAAGACACCCATCAGACTCCATGCTCTGGGGCTGCTAACTGGTGAAGTCAGGGTAGGTCCCTGTGGACAAGAGATGTGCCCTCCACAAGGCCAGTGAAAACGCATTGAAATCTGGTCAAAGCTGGACATGGTCACACTTGGGTTAATGAAGTAAGCAGAAAGCAAAATGTTGGTGAAGATAAGATGTATGTGGATGAGGGGAGGTGGTGGATGGATGGCTCAGAGAGTGGAGGGTGTCCAGTGTGTTGCTCTTCACACTGGTGGCACAGTCCAGGACTGTATCATGGCCTGGATAAGTCCCCATAGCTCTATCTGGGTGAGCAACATCAATGTAACCTCAGATGCCTCCTTTGGGATGAAAAACAACCAAAAACTCAAGAGGGCATAGTCCTGAAATTCAACACTGAGGGGCAAAATGTCCACCTCAGGGGTAAATGTAATTCTGGGCATCACTTAAGTTGAAGCATGTGACAGTGGCACCTTATTATTATTTTAATACAGTGCTCTTGTAAGACCTGCTGGAATGACAGAGAGGTTGCCCCTCCAGAGAGATGGCATCTCAGTGTCCCATCCAAAACCCTAGAAAAACATTTGCAGAGGAATGTGCAACCCCCACAGAAATATAGTGGGAAAAAGCCATCTCTTTGTAGAGATGGGGAGAAGAAAGAGAAGACAAAGGCAAGAGGTGTGTATTAACTGTGTATATGACAGCAGACAACTGAGCAATGACAATGACGTTATTATGTATGCTAATGGTTGCAACCCAAATTCAGGTGGCTCATTGCAGAAGTAGGAACAGTGATTCCCACTATTCAAATTACTCAGCACTCAAAGAAATTAGCTGCCTGGTCCAAATGGGAAATGCTTTTGTCTGAAAAGGTGTGAGCTTGCTCAGTACAGCTACGAAGGTCATCTTTTTCTCACCTGTGTTTCTAACAGCAGACCCCTGAAACATCCTTTCCAAAACACACAGCTTCAGCAATGGGATGTTTTGCTTCCGTAATTCTCCACTGCCATTTTAATACAAAGAACAAAAAAGGAAACATCCAAAAAGCTCTTGGCATAACCCAAAAGAGGCCATGTTGCACTTTTTCCCTGTCTGTGTCTTGCAAGTCACTTTACAGACAATAGCAGATTAATTATAACCACGGGTTTAACAAATCCCCATGACAAGGCATCCTTATTGTGGTAGAGACAGCATGCACTGAAATGATAGGGAGGAAATCTACTACTTTCCTATGTAAAAGTCTCTTGGTGGGCTTGCTACAACTGAAGCTAGCAAGGCTGCTCTCACTGAGCCATGCTGGGCTCACCAAGTGTGACTTTGCAGACTGCAATGTCATTTGTAGTAAGAGTATGGGTGATGGCAAGTGACACGGAACAAGAGGGGTTAATGTTGTTTGATTCAGCTGGCCAACGTTTTGGATGCTTTGCTAAAGGGAGGCCATGAAAATCAGAGCAGAGAAAGAAATGAGACTGGGAAAAATTAAAGCAGATACTTTAATCAAGGACATTTATCAAGACACCTCTCTGTGGTAGCATTAGTTAGATGTTCCTCTTGATTGAGAGATGGAGCGGAAGACTGCATCTCTTTCCTGAGCTCGCACCTTCCCACACTCACAAAAACACTGCTCTTAGCTAAAAATGTCCCGACTTAAATTTTAGTACAAATGCATTCAGAAATCAGAAAAAAAAAAAAAAGACCTGCATAAAACAGTGAGATTTTCTTCAAAGCAAGTCCCAGGGGCAGTGCCCACCTTAAGCTCAGAGTAAGGAGCGAAGCAATGCTCATGTGTAGCATTCGCTATTATTTATTATTCATTCTTTGCTGCCTGCATTTCCCCGACTTGCTGAGAGTATCACCAAAGTCAGTTCAGACCGTGCCTGGGCTGGGAGGGAAGGCTACCTGCAGACCCTGTCCCACAACACATTTTCTTTCCAGTGGATATTTTGTCAAATAGCAAAATTTTGTCTCCAAGGCAAAATAATGCCAGATTTGTGAAGACAGAGGAACAGAAAACGAGGGCCATATGTGAATAGTGATCGCTCAGCACCAGACAGATCTTCCTGGCCATGCATAAAACAGGTACCATCTGCTCTGTGTCCACCCGCATCATCCTCTACGCTTTAAAGACCTAATGTGACGTCTTACTGATGCTTCCCCCCTGCTACTGCCTTTACTAATTCCCTGAACTGATCTGTCCCATGCACTGAAGTAGGCAGAAAACCTTCAGGAAAAAAAAAAAAAAGTGATCACATGATTGTACCAAAAACTAGAGATACAGAAGGAAACTTTTGTTTTCCTAATTTATATTTCCTAATTTCCTGAGTGCTTGACTTTGAAACATGAAGAAGCTTTTTTCAATATAGGTTTTGGTATTCAGTATTTGTGATACCTACTTAAATGAAAAAAAACCACACACTATCTCCTGCATTAATGGAACATAAATGTTGCAAGCCCCAAATCCAGAAATAATAGGTAGAAAACACTTCTAATCCTACTGTTTTGAAAAATGCATTTTTTATTTTATTTTTTTGCATATCTTGCTTAACGACATATCCCTTTTTGGATTGTCTGCTAAGGCAACTTTTACGGGGAACTGCCTGCTTCAAAATATTGCCGAAGTAGTCAAATTCAGCACTTAAAACTGACAAAAAAAGAAAGAAACTTGTATTTTTGGCTGCCAGATTCACTAAGGGAAAGTATTTCACAGAAACGTCTCATCAATCTATTGTCAGAATGCATTTTTAAGTGTTTGGGTAAGGCTAAGGATGTACTGATCTTTTTGGAACGGAATATTCTTATACTGCATTTCAGTATTCATCAATTTCTAGTTGTTCATGAAAATATTGATATGCACAGAAAATACAATGTTTTATTGACTGTTATTGTTGACATGAAATTAGCCAGTTTTGGAGTTTTACTTTGTTAAATCTTTGTGTTTCTGTTCCTTCCTTTTTTTAACTTTCATGTGAGAACAGGAAAATTTTTCTATCTGGATTCTCTTGAAAAGGAAAGTTTCCATTCTCTTCCATTTCTATTTAGTCCCTCTCAGACAGGAATTCAAAACTGTTTCCATTTACTGGTTGTTTTATTCTGAACTTGGTAGGTCCCAGCTCCAGGCCAAGAGCACCAAAGGAAGGACCTTCCTTCCAGCCAGGCCAGGGCTGGGTTGCTTTAGCAGATGGGTGCACGTGAGAAACCGACTTTGCTGTTGCTTTTTTCAGTTTAAAAAAAAAATATATATATATATATTTTTTTGTGTGGTCTGTAAAAACTTCCATCAGTACTAAATTCAAAGGACATTTATTAGTTCATTGTGTAATTTGTGTTAAATGTCCAAAGAAGCTTAATTCCTCCCTTCCCTCCCCTGCACAAACCAACAAACAAACTGGCAGCTTTCATCTTTGGTTTTGAAACAATGGTTTCCACTGAAGCTTTAAAAAAAATCTAATCCTGCATATTTTCCTCCTTTCTTAACTGTTACAAAAGCTTATTTTAACATGTACAGCACATTTGACGTGTCTTTTAAAAGGAGAAGCATCCTTTAACATAGCATGGAGTCAAAGCACCAGCAAGCCACATTTTTTTTAATGTTTTTACCTTTCCACATGGTCAACGTTGCCTGCCACTCCGACCCCTCCAATGGTATATATTTTCCCATCGTACACCAGACTGTTATGTCGACACCTGGGGACTGTCATTCGGGACACGAGGTTCCAGTTATCGAGCAAGGACATGTAACACCAGACATCGGCGAGCGTGACACCCGACTCCATGCCGCCTGGCACCAGCATGCGGCCGAGGGAAAGAAAAGGGGAGAAATATGTGAGCTCCTGGAACGGCAGCAGCTCTGCGCACAGCAATCAAAGCCAGTTACAAAGTAAAAACTCTTCAAATGACATTTGACTAATTAAAATAAATCACCCTCAATACTGAGCATCTGTTCCGATGATGCATATCTGTGTCATTTATTCATGAGTCCCAAAGGCTGTTTTTTTTTTTTTTATTAGATGACATGAAGAAATCAAGATGTCAGACTATGAGGGACAAGTACGTAAGGGGATAGACCCTTTCCAATGTTCATAAATAACTTCCAGTCTATTAAATTACTGCAACACTTGCAAGAAGGTGTCATGAGGCAGAGACTATCTTGGCTTGCGAGACACAGTCCAGTCTGAAATCTAAATGCTTAACACAGTGATGGATTGAAGCAGCACAAACATGGGCAAAACAAAGCCAGTGCTTGCGTTGTAGGCTTGCTGCCTAATTTTCAGGGACAAATTCCTTATTTATTTTCATTTGCTGATGAAAGGAAGAACCAGATGTACTGCTCTTGTAAAACAATTTCAGATGCTCAAGTGCAATCACAGAATCATAGAATGGTTTGAGTTGGAAGGGGCCTTAAAGATCGTCTGTTCCACCCCCTTGCCATGGGCAGGGACACCCCCACTGGATCAGGTTGCCCAGGGCCTCGTCCAACCTGGCCTTGAACACCTCCAGGGATGGGGTATCCACAGCTTCTCTGTTAAATCTGTTTCAGTGCCTCACCACCCTCATAGTAAAGAATTTCCTCCTTGTATCTAATCTAAACCTACCCTTTTTTAGTTTAAAGCCATTCCTCCTTGTCTTATCTCTGTACCCCCTGACAAAGAGTCCCTCCCCAGCTCTCCTGTAGGCCCCGTTTAGGTACTGGAGGGCTGCTGTAAGGTCTCCCTGAAGCCTTCTCCTCAACTCCCTCAGCCTGTCTTCATAGGAGAGGTGCTGTAGCCCTCTGATCATCCTCGTGGCCCTCCTCTGGACTCACTCCAACAGGTCCATGTCCTTTTTATGTTGCAGACTCCAGAGCTGACCGCAGCACTCCCCGTGGGGTCTCATGAGAGTGGAGCAGAGGGGGAGAATCACCTCCCTTGATCTGTTGGCCACACTGCTTTGGATGCAGCCCAGCATATGGTCGGCTTTCTGAATATTTATATTGGTTCTCTGAAATGTTTATTTTGGTCAGTTTTAAACTTCTGACTGAAACGTCCAGTGTAGCTACTTAGTGGGTGTCTCGCTATCCCCACTTTGAAGCACAAAGAGGTTAAATGATTTATCTGAGACCACACTAGGAGTCTGTGATGGAGCCAGGAAAAGAAATGAGACTCTCAGTTCTGTGGTTTAATGACAAACCCAGGCTTTCTCCTTCCTTTTTCGCTCTCCAAAACTGTGCTATGCAGTGTGGAGTCCAGTACTTCGAGCTTGTGGGGAGTTCATTCCCACTTTTGTTGGTTCCCCTTCCCTTTTTCCTGTTTCTTAATGGTTTAGCAAAACAAAATACCACTGGCAGTCTGCTAAGTTTCCAGCCATGCAGGACTTCCAGCTTTCCTATTTTATCCATCGAATACCATCAGCTCATTCATCCAGATTCAAGGAAAAGAGCTGAAAGAAGTTTTGAATTTAGGATTCAGTGGCTTTTGCCAGCAGGTAAGGCACAGTCTAAAATATCTCTACATATTGTGAAGTGCCTCAGCTAAGAATAACTACAAGTCAGCCTCTCACTAAGAGCTCCATTGAATGCTTTTGCTCCAGCTCCAAAAAGAGCATGGGTGAAAAGCGTCAAGAAATAATTTCCAATCAATCCTTGGGGCCTCTATGCAGTATTAATGGAATTTAACACCACAGGCAGTGATTTTCTGTGGAAAATGCAGCAAGGGGACTCCATACAGGAAAAGACAACAGCTGTAACCCCTTACTGGTACTGCCTGGTTCATCTGTGCTCCCAGCTCCATCCTCAGCTCGCACACATCCGCACCTCCCTGCCCAGGCTCCTCTCTTCATCAAAAAACCTCCACTCTGCTGCCATCAGTTCAAGCCATCGCCTGGTGGGAATTCCTTTTTGCCTTCCAGCCAAGCAGAGGTACCACAAGACTGTGAATAACCAGACTCTGCGATGCTGCAGGCGCAGAGCAGACAGCTACTTTGGGAGTTAAAGCCTTTTAGGGAGCGTGGTCTCAGTTTCATTGAAACTAAGAAGATTATAGGGCTAGTGACTACTGTCAAAAGAGAGGTTTCAAAAACAAGTACACAAAGTGAATGCTCCTGTAAGCAAATACTGTAAGTGTAGGTCACATATTCAGTAGTTCAGCCTGTCTGTCTCAAATTCCATAACCCACCATTTAGACTCAACTACAGCCAATATTTTAAATTGTGTTACTATGGCACTGAAACCTCTTTGCATGCTTGATGGTTGTCAGACCTCTTTTCTTCACGTTGCAAACGCAAAATATTGCTGTTGACTGCTTTGAGGGAATGCTAACGTGGCAGAGAAATGGAGAATAATGAAAGCAGGGAAATCCCTCGTCCCTTTCCCAACCTCCCCTCCCACTTGTCTGTTATTTTTTTAATTTATTTTCCCCAGAAGCAGCACATCCTTCTTTGTTTGCACTGCCTGTGTTGTAAGGAGGAAACTTTTCTCCCAGCCCAGTGTATTTGCTGCTCACCTGAGAGATAAATGTTGTCTCCAGCGCTGACCACGCTGAAAAACTCCCGATCATAGAAGGGAAGGCTGGCCAAGGGGTACCACTTGTTGTTTTGAGGATTTAAGCAAGTGACTGCTGTTAAAGCTCGTTGATTCATGCCAATCATCTGACGACCCCCAACTAAGACTATCACCTCAGCTACACCTAGGATTCAACAAGCAAAACAGTATTTAAAAAATGTGACATCTCTCAAACAGGCAGGAGCCTATCAAAAATACTCAGCAATCTGGGCAGTTTTAACTTGTTGTATAGATATTGTATAAACTGTCTTAGGCTGTGCAGTTAAACCAGGAAGGGTGAGGAAAAAGGAAGTATATGTGGTGAGAACGGTGGGTGAGGAGCAACATCAAGCATCGTAGGGATAACTGGGGAGGTAGCATATCATCTGGATAAAATTCAAGGGGGAAAGAAACAAAAAGAATATTCCCTGTAAAGATGCCCATTGACTTCCCCAGTCTTTGGGTGAGACACACATGTATCAAATCTTTGTTCAACTAAAGAAAACGGGAATTTTGTCAAGGCTTGTGACATCAGTGAGCTTGGCCTTTATCCACGTAAAGGATGTTTGGGCTTTAACCTGAAGGTGTTCTCACACAGCTAGCATCTGCAGATTTAGCCTATAGTGATATTTCTTCATCATGAATTTCCTTCTCCATATGGATAGTTTGACCTACAGCACACAAGGTGTACAGCAAGCCAAATTCTCTGCTGGTATAAACGGACATTTTGCTACCCAAACCTTTTGGACAAAAGTTTTATAATGCAAATCTTGGCATTTTTTCACTTCCACTTTACTCCTAGCCCGGGCTACGCTGAATCTGAGCTGAAACTCTCCCCAGACTTGGCCTTGCAGTGGACTCCAGCGATGGGTCACAGTTTAATTCTCAGGTGTTTTCTGGCTCTAGCCCCAAAGTACTGGGGATAGTTTGGATTCAGTGCTTAGCAGAAGTGTTAACATCTTTCCGTGGCAATTGTAAGCCTTGGTGCAATTTGTTGCCAGGAGGGGTAGGCTCAGAAACAGGTTCATGAGACCATGAGCTGGAAGAAATTGCCACCTCAGGAGCTGTGCTTGTGGCCAGACCCATTGCTGTGATCTGTTAAGGTGCCCAGTTCAGAGACAAGTGCATGCTGGCAGGGGGGTCAAAAGCCCAGAAGTGAGCCTGCCAGCCAGAGAGATCAGCAGGTGCAGCACTGAGCAATGCTTCTTTACAAGAATGGATTATCATCATTCCTCATTAACTTTTAAAAAATACATATTTGTGTCATTCCAACAAGGTTACTCTCTTACAAGTTATTAAGTGAAAGTGCTGTACGGTTTTAAATAAATATTTCTCGGTAACAAGAGATCATTATTTTTGCGACACACGAGAAAATCTAATCACCTGTGCGAGACATAACTTGATTATAATCAATGACCTCGAGAGAGCGTGCGACATGCTGCAGTGAGTCCACAAAGGGTGTTTAGAGATCCTTTGTGCCTCCATGAATGCCGTTGATATGCAAAATAACATGATTCTATATAATTAGACTCTGACCTAAAAAACTATAATCACCCTCTCTTACCCCGCGAGAATCACTTTTCCCTCATCAACAAGCTTCTGGAAATGGTTCACATTACACCTACAATTTTATATACATAAAATAAGCACTTTTCAAAAATCCCTTCAAACATCACACCATTAGTCGTCTTCAATGAAAGACTTTTTAGGGTAGATTGTTATTGAAAGTCCTCTACACTTCATCCTTCTGAAAGGTGCCTTGATGAGAGTCTCCAGAAGCGGCGAATGATGTAGTCTGATATGCCATCTCGGTGCCACATTAGCATTAGTGGCAGCTTGTGACAGAAAGTTTTTGCCTGGCTTTGTGATTGTACTAAGAAGAGGCAGAAGTATTGGTAGCGCATTAAAACAATTCACCGACTTCATCTGACTCCTGGAAGTAGTTTTGATATGGTATTTGTATCACTGTTCAACAAATATTTAGGATATTTCTAACACTACGTGATACAAGCTCTTCTGGCAAATTGGGCACTTTTTTTTTTTTTTTTAACATGTATTTTTCCCAAAAGGAAAATATGTGCATTCCTCAGATGAGAAACTTTTTTTGAAGCATTACGGCTCTCCCTAGCTGCTGGGATTTTTTAAAGGGAATATATCCTGTGTGATCCGTTTGTTTTGGAGGCAGCAAACGGCCTGAACTGGTACCTGCAAGACTGAGGGTATGAAAATAATGTATTTACACAGGGCTGTGAAAGTGAAGCTGTTTTATGAATATTAATCAGCTCCTACCTGCAAGAGGCCGGATGGCAGAGAAGCAAATGTTATCGTTCACCCGTTCCTGCAGCTAGAGAAGTGAGGCACGGAGGGCAGTGGGGGGATGTCAGTGTGCCTCACCGTCTCTGCCAAAGCTAATAATTCATACAAATTAGGCTCCTTTTAAATCTAGTTTCTGGAGTGTACACCTAAACTCCCACGTCTGACCCTTGGGAGAGGCTCCTCGATGCTTGAGCAAAGCAGAAATGAAAAATGGAGCTTGAGATTTCGCCAGGCTCAAACAGGAGAGGGAGTGAAGGGAAGCAGCCAAGGTCTGTGGTGCATCCCTGGGCATGTCCTGGGATGTCCTGGCCATGCCCAGGTGCAGGAATTTGTGGCCCAGTGAGCTGGTGTGGCTGAAGTAAGCTTTGCTTTACCTGCAGAGAGCCTGGGTCGGGTCCTCGGTGTCTGCATCTCCTGTCGGGCGTGCGGCAGCATGTGATAACGCTTGGCTTCATTCACCAGATCCCGGCAGGCCTCCGAAGACTTTATCAACTCCTCGTTGTCAACAACGTTCAGCAGATAGCTGGGATGGATGAAGGGGAGGCGCACCACTGCCAGCAGCTCCGCGGCGTACTGCAAAGAGGGGAGAAAAATCATAGCACACTGAGGCCTTCGTTCAGCCACTCGGCATCTCCGCCTCCTCCATTGCAAACTGTCCCCTGCCACCCAACCTGGAAACACGCTCCCCTTGGAGCTGCCCTCGACACATGAATTTGGCAGCACGCAGTCCTGATGGATTGCCACGGATGCTGCACACGTGTGCCAAGCCGTGCTTGGCAATCGGGTAGGAAGGAGGCGATGCAGCCCTCGGTGATCCCCCACCAAGGCTGGTTTTGGTCCCAGAGGGATTGAAAATAATTCTTGAAAAGGTGGCAACTCCTGTTATATAGCACAGTATGGAGGGGGTTTTGAAATAAAAGCTCGAACTCAGGCTGGATGTAACACCTTATGCACTGGAGACATGTGGTAAAAGTTCAAGTTTTCTGAATTAACCTCGAAATGTGAGAGTGGAAAGCAGTGCAAAAAAAAGAAAAGAGAAAAAAGTTTGGTGTTCTGGATGTGAAACAAAAGCTGGCAAATAGAGTAGATTTTAACTATTTTTACTACATCAAGAGACTGAATAATACCATCCAATTTGCTATTTTTTTTTTTTAATTAATAGGGTTTATTTGTTGGTGAAACAAATCATGTACTTGTAGATTTTGGCCAAGTCAGACTCCAGAGGGTGCTATACAAATACTGTCGGTAAGTTTCATCTTCTAAATAAATACGTTAAACCTTGGAGGGCAAAGGACATCCGAGCAAATGAAGCTGTCTGTCACTGAACGTGGCTTAAAGGAGAACAAAACCCCAAGAGAGAAAACTGCAGTCGAAAAACCAAGAGCCCATCCCCAGATTATTCTTTTTATAGGTAATTGCTTATATCACAGCACAAGGCAGAGTACAGCGAGAAGCAGCGTAACGGGAAAACGCGGTCCTTGAGAAGAAAAACACACACACAGGATGCAAGCTAAGGGTGCGCAGCAGGAAACGATAATCTGTGTTAATAGATAGTCACATAACAGCGGCATCCAAAGACCCTGCCTGGGCCTGAGGCCAGGATGCAAATCAATATTCCTGAGGTCCCTGAAACCCATCCTGAGCAACGCTGGGCACCAGCAGCATCTGCTGGCCTGCGGATGCCTCGGGTCTTCCAGAAGCTACTTGGCTCTTGCAATTTTTTAAGCAGCGGGCCTGGCCCTGTCACATGTGAAAGCCAAAGTCACAGCAGGAGCAGCGACAGGGATGGAGAGGGTCACTGTGAGGTGGGAGAGCTGCTGCCAGGCTCCTTCCTGGTGCTGGCCAGGCAGGTGAGGACACAGTGATGCCTGGGACCGCTTCCAGGGCTTCCCTTTTCCCAACCCAAATTGAAAACGCAGGCTTAATTTGGGAAGAAAACAGAGGATTTTTTCTTATAGGGGAAATACACACTGCTTTCCTGCCCGAGAGCTGTGTCAGCCTGGTGTGAGCTCAGTTAACACCAGCACGTAACCACCCGTGGGGAGCTGAACCCTGCTGTGCTGGCAGGGACACGGCAGCAGGGAACCCATCGGGGTCACAGGGTGATTTTAGGTGGGGCACAGGGGATTTAGGCCTAGACACCCTGCTGCTGCTGGGTGCTAGAGAAGTGATGCAAAAGGCAGGGAAAAACATCAATGCTCCTCTTCTGAAACAAATCCCAGGTGAGCGGAGAGCATCAGCTCCTCGCTGTTACCTCCAGCATGCGCGGCCCGGGCTGTGTAAGGCTTGAGGTCACTGCATCAGCCTCCAAGCCAGGGAAGAAGGGACTCCTCTCTTTTCTTACACTGAAATCCATTTCTAAGGCGCTCGATAGGAGGTGAAACGGCTGCTCTCCTTCCCCAGAGTCACAAATGTCAGGCACTTGGCTGCAGATATTGTAATGTCATTAAGCGGTAACTTGTAGGAGAGGGAGCAGTGGACATATGGCAGTGGGTGGCAAAGCTCTGATTGCAGGAAGCGCTTTTTTTTAAGAAGGTTGGGGGCGTTTAACCTTACAAGGGAGCCAAGACGAAACGTGGAATCGGGACACGGGAATAATGCGGGTAGCGGGTGCATGGGGATGAGCCAGACAACCCCCCGCAGGGAGGTTAATCCCCATCACAGGCTGCTTAGGAAGCAGAAAGAGCTGCGACAGGGCGGTTTAAATAACGTTGTAAAACACACACAACACGCAACCACAGAAGAGCAAGCAACTTCCCTCGGCGCTGTGGGACATCCCAGAGCTGCTCCTCAGGGAGCAGCCGTAACACAAAGACAAAACACAAAGAGTCCTGCTGCTAAATTAGGATGTGTGGTCTGACGGGCACCAGGATGGCCCCAAGTTTGGTTTCAGATCTGGAAGAGAGCAGGGCCGGACCATTCCTTGGGGCTGTGCAGCAGGAATGCCCCCTTTCCCCTGTTTCCTAGAATAAACAGGGCATTACCGCTGCGTTAGCACGGCGAGCTCTTCCTCACACTCACCCACCTTTCTTTAATTAGATAAGTGAGAAAATGTGATACTGTTCTCTCCTTTATTCCCCCTCCCTCCTCCTTTGTCTGAGCTCGTGGCTTATTTTGAAGGAGAATAGTAATTAGAACATGTTGCTTCCTTTCATCAGCTTGAAAGTCAATGTCACATATCAAAACCCAGGTCGCTTTTCACTCTTACGGTTCCCCCCTGCACAAACAGCAAGAAGAAGCTGTGTGTGTGCGTGTGTGCACACACAACCACGTGCAGCTGCGATTCGGGCTCATTGCTGATGGCATTAAGGGTACGTGGTGTTTTTTACCAAGGGATTTGAGGAGTATGTACCATCACACTGTCTCTAGAAGAGAGGAGAGGCTTTTATAAACCAATGGCTTCTCGCACCAGCTCTTTTAAGCACTATAGTCAAGGGTGAATTTCATTTAGCCTCACTGATTTAAGAACATTCAAGTGATTTAGGCAATCAGCAGCCTTTTTCTTTTTGGATTCTCCCTCACGATAGCTTCCTAGCTCTGTTAGCTATGATTGTATTAAATATCCTGCTACTATTATCCTTTTCATTTAAGACTAGAATAAGCACTGTAAAGCATTTCAACCTTCTTACCATCTGTTATTTGCTCTCCATTCTCTCTTGTCTTTCCGGTGTTCCTTACACAGCTACGAAACGTCGACTCTAGCTACTGATGGCGCTATTTTTCATTAAAACAGCAAAATACCTGCTACAGGGAACTTTGCCAAAGTCTGGAGACCACAGCCTCCACTCCTTGGAGTCACAGCTCGTGCCTGCAATGCTGAGGACAGTTTCTTCTCACTATTGCGCTGCAGGTGCTGGCTGGATGAGCAGAAATAGTTCTCAGATCTTGGCTGGGAGTCACTTTCAGCTAGTCTACAACCTGCATTACACACTGGGGTTAAGCACAGAATATTAATGGCCCTTTCTGGGCTAAAACTGGGAGCCATCAGCTCATAGACACAGGAGACCATGCCTCAGGTCCTCTACTATGCAAAATCTAATGAATAGATTGTCTGAAATGCCAGGGAGGTTTTTGAGCAGCTTCAGGACCGGCTTTTCAGCTGATGCAAACCTCAGCATAGCTTCTGTTGGACCAAGGGAGCTGCTCAGGGTTTTGCACCAGCAGATCTAGCCTGTAAACTCGCTGCTGAGTGGTGAAGCCCGTCTCCTCTGTGGTCTTGTGCATGGCCAGGGTGATCCTGCATGGACCAGGGCTCCACTGCCACATGAGCAAAGGCTTTTTGGGAAGTCACTGGGGCCTTGGTAGAGCAGTGACTTTGGAGAGATGACCTGTGGCTTCTTAAGGCACCTACGGCACTGATAACAACTTAAGTGGCTGAACAGAAAGCAGTGTCTTCAGCCAGACTGCAAGCACAAATGCGTTTCATAAGAAATGGGAAAGAAAAATCTTAGAGGAGATCTTATCTTCCCCTAATTACCTAACCATTTGGGGTGAGATCCAGCTCTAGATTAAACTCCTAAGTAGGTACATACATGCACGCATTTGCTTGTCAGCTAGACATGTGTAAACACACGTTATAATTAATAGGGATCTAGCCAACACACTCAGCACAGTCCCCAGAGCAACCCGAGCTGACTGAACGCATCACGCACCAGGGGAAGCAGAGAATATCGATGTCCCCTTCTGGTCTAAAACTGTGAGATATAAGCTCCTGGGAAAGGGATAGCATGCCTCGGACTGTGCCTCGGACCATGCCACATTAAGATGTCTGCAAGGAGATGTCAACCCAAAGTGGAGGGTGATTAATTCACCTGTCTGGTGGGAATTTCTGTGTCCGTTTGCCCTGGGCGCCGTGCTGGGAAGGTCGCAGTCACACTACAAGAAAGCCTCGGTGTTATCACTGGTTGAATGTTAACTGGGAGAAATATAGGATCAATACACTTCGCTATAGCTTGGAGTAGACCTTTAAAGATGTTTAGGCTTTCTCTGATAATCTGTTCATTTTCGTACATGCAGCTACTCCCACCTTGGCAAGGCAGGCCAGGGCTTGACCAAAATGGATTATAAAACAGCTGAATGCTGTTTTTATTCCTTGCTTGGTACTTTGAATGAGGATGTTTACTTTGCTAAACTTTTTGTGGCATTTCTTCTCCTACTAATTACATAGGTACTATGAACACTTGCTTACAAGTGGGCTTTATTCTGCTCTCTTGTAATTCTCAGCTACAAAACCCTCTTCAGTATCACATTAGAAATAATCTTTTTATTCTCCAGTCTCTGATCCAGCGAAACCCTCACAGGTATTCTCCGAAAGGACTCTCTGTGTGCTCCTGCATAGACTTGGGCTACGAGAGCATACAGTTTGTTTTAAAAGGAAATATGTTTACTGCTCCAGAGTCAAATTTCCTGCTCCTTAAGTGTGACACTGGAAAGCTCTCAAGATTTTTAACATTTTTGAAGTAATGCCCGGAGAGGTTAAAATAATGTTTCCCTTATGCCTTATAACTCATCTGTCTCTCTCGCTTACTGCTCTTCCTACAGAGGTCCCTTTGTGCTGTCTGCCTAAAGAAACA